TTAATAAATATGCTATATAATATATTTAATTAATAGATATATGTATTAGTATCCATTTTTAAATATTGCTTTATTCCTAGGCCCAAAAATGCCAGGAGATGACGATAAAAAAGAAGGATCAGATCTCTCGCAGCTTGTCATTAGGAAAACGTTGCATTCACTGCCTAAAAGCATTGCGTATTAAATCACGCAGTACCATTCGCATATCCCACCATTTAAGCGATTACCTTTGACCAAACTTGCGTTGAAGATGGTCACTGCAATATGACACGATTTAGCTCCCCCTCTTCCTGTCTGCATAGTGGACAAATGTGGTTCCTGCCTTCAAACGGAATTAATGCTTCTCCTATCCAAATTCATTTTTGTTGGCAATCTGTCAAGAAACATTCTCCAAGCGAGGAAGCAAATTCTCCCCGGAGGAAATTTATTCCATATTGCCATATGATAAAGTCTGCGTCAAGTGTCTTTGCATTCGGATATCCCACTATAAGCTTTTTTTGGAATGTATAATCCATCTTTGTCAAACCTCCAAACTCTTTTATCTTCCCTCCCCCTTACATCTCCAATTATCTCTAATAAAGCTCTCTTCTCCTCGCAATCCCTACCAAAAAGTCCCCTCCTTATTTTAAATTATCACAAATTCTTACATTATTTCCCATTCAAAGATTTTTTAATCTTAGGAAAACTTCACTTAGAGAATGGTAAAGTGATTAATACATATTTTAATTCAACATATTACATAATATATTATTAAAAAATCATTAATTTTTGGTATAAAATTAAAAACAAATAAACTTAAAGGTATAATATGCATACAAGATACAAAAACCAACTAAATTGATTATATTTATATTATATTTTAGGATCATGTTTGGCTTACATCCCATCATACCACACTCCTGTTACACACTCTTTTTTCCTTTAGCTTCTGTTAGCTCCCACACTCCGTTAGTCTCCATCCTCACTAGATCCATCTTCCTTTTCACCTCCATTTTCGTCCTAATCATCTGCAGGACAATTGCCAGCCATCCCAAACCAAACACCCATCCGATGGGAGGGATCCCACCTGCAAGATTAGCTCCGATCATCTCCCTCGCTACCTCTCCAAAAACCCCTCTGTTTAGAAGGTTACCTAAGGCAAAAATCAATTCCCAATTCCACCACCAGACCCCTTGTTCAAGCTGCACTCCTTCGTCGAGGAAAAACTCCAACAAGAATCAGAAACTACCGACCAAAAGCTTTCTTCCAAAAAAAAGCCCCAAAAACCAGAAAATTTTTTCTTCTGAAACCGAGACTCAGAACCACCAAAAAGCCTCCCCAAAAACAACTATCCTCAAAAATCCTCCCCAAAAAACAGTTCTTTGCTCTTTTTTTTTTTCTTTTCTTTTTTTCTTTTTGTTGACGTCAGCTCTCTCCAAAACTTCCAGGTCTCACTTCTCTTTTTCGGTTTTTTTTTTTTTGTCAGCGATCTCTCCCCCAAAATAAAAAAAAATGTGTGTAACGGGAGTGTGGTATTGTAGAATGTAAGCCATGCATTATCCTATATTTTAATAAATAATTAAATTGAAACAAATATTAAAAGATGTATTAAACCAAATGTATACCATTCATTTTTAATGAATATTCTCTAAGCCCCACATCCTAATTCAAAAACCTAACAATGCTTCCATCATGCATCTGCCACCTCAAACCATAACTGCCTACCTAACATAAACTCAAGTTGCTTCAGTGGTTAAACCGTGCGATAAAAAAATAAGATATTGGTACATATATTCTTTAATTTAATACCATTCATAATAGTTGAAATGTATTAAATTAAAAAGAAATTATAAAAACATAACATAGTAGGTCACTAGTTCCACCTTGATACAAACAGGAGCAACACCACGTGAACATCTATTACTTCCGTATATATAAAGAAAC